AATAAAAATAAATAAATAAATAAAAGGGGTTCTAGTACTTGAAAAGACTGAAAACCACTGGTATAGAGGATTTATAAACTTTCAGTAAGATAGGAAAGATGGTACAAGACTGTATGAAAGCAGTGGAGGGGAGTTTGGCAGTACTTGTGTGTGAAACCAATTGCCTGTACATCAATTAGTAGGCTGTTTAGCAATGATGATAGTTTGGGGACAATGATAGTTACAGATCCTATCCAGCCTCCCCACTAAAAAGACATTATTTTTTTTAGCACAGAAACTGAAATTCCTACATTATTCCTCCCTTTGGCTTAGAACACAGAAGCCATGCATTAACATGCAAACAATATTTAGAAGAATGCATCATCCACTAATTATGAATTAGTATATTAGCTTGCACTCACTTAGTCCTAAAGGAATAGGGCATGAGGCAAGTATGTGTGTTTTGATCAGAATACCAACATATTAATTAATGAGTAACCTAATTATAACTTACATTAGAAATACCATTGTCAGCAAAGGGAAAGATTTTGGTAGGGTAAGAAGGAACTGCTAAGACTGGAGAAAACTGAGGACACTAGGGTAAAGTGGTCATGCACTTTCAATGGAGGAGAGAAAGCACAAAAAGGGAGACAGAATAACACTGAAAACATATTTTACTTACTTTCCTTTTTCTCATGTGCTGTGGGTAAATCAAAGGACTATATCTAAGGTTATCAGTAGTCTCTTAGTGAACTGAGGCTGCAACTGAGTAATTATCTACATGAAGCTACTTACTGGAAAAGGTGATAAAAGCCTGCCCCCTCATTCGTCCAGTCATCATTTGGAATTGAATTGGAGGTCCTTTTTTCTCCTGGAATCGAGCGAACAATGAGACCAGATCTTTTTCAGTCACCTGAGGGCTAAGGTTCTTCAGGTATAACACCTAATACAAATTGAAGAGCAAAAGAAATATCACATAACAGAGGTAAGGCAACTCTTTCATTATGGTTAGAATTAGTTTATTTCAGATAAAAATGGTGGATTGAACACACTGATTTAATTTCACTCCATCCAGAAAACTTCCTAAAACTACGGGAACTTAAAAAAAACACACACAAATGAACAAGGTAAGGAGGCAATAGCAATAATACTCTGGAAGCTGGAAAACAACGGGATGATTAGGAACCAACTCAGCACATTCAAGAAAGCTATTAAATAAATCTTAAACTAGCAGTGGGGAAAGCCAAGAACCCACCCAATCTCCACTTAAGAATCCTCAAACAGTTTAGGAAATGATAACTTCAGGTACCACTGGAAATACATGTGAAGAGATGGGGTGAAAATAAGGTGGGTAAGCTGAAGGTTATTTAAAAACCTAATTTGATTTTTAAATACCCTCCTCCACAATATGCTACTGGGTAAAGGCAACTCGCCAATCCTGGTAGAATACTGGAGGCTCATTGTCAGAAGATGGTAAATGCCATACAGAGTTGAAGATATGAATACTGTTTCTCAAAGCAAGGAGACTAAGAAAAAGAATGCACACTTAATGCTGAGGTCCTCCCAAACCTTTTCTACCACTTGGCTCATAGAATGCTCTTACCCTTCTAAGAGACAGTTTGGACAGTCTTCTTTGGGGACACTGATAAGACCCTAGAGGAAAGATATAAAAATACTGACTTGCGATTGGGAATTCCTCCAACAAATGGCCCAGCCACACCACTTTAAAGTGAAGCTCAAAATCAACAAGGGCCACTTATGTACTCAAAACCTCCAATCAGCTTTTTACTCTCTACTAATAAAGTTGAGCATGGACTATTAGGCACCTGAGGAAAGCCTCTAATGTGAAAGATCGAGAACAGAACAAACAGAAAAGAAAGCAAATGAGAGAAAACAAAGACTATGGAGGGAGAAAAAAAAACTTCAAAAAACCATAACCAATATCCTCAGAAAAATAAGAGAAACTATTCTATTTATTAGGAATGGGATGCTATAAAAATTCAAGAGAACAAAAAAGCGTTCTTATATGTGACTGAACTTAAGTAGTCATCAGTTTAAAACAGATTGTTATAACTATAAGATGTTTTATGTATGCCCTTATGTATGCCCTTATGTAGCCACAAAGAAAATACCTACAGACAATATGCAGAGAAAAATGGGAAAGAAATCAAAGCACGCCACTACAAAAAAATAATGAACCACAAGGATTATAGCTAAAAGGGAAGGAGGGACCAAAAGAGCTATGAGACAGACAGAAAACAATTAATAAATGGTAGTAGTAAGTCCTTTGCCATCAATAATTACCTTAAATATAAATAGATTAAACTCCCCAAAAGACATAGAATGGCTGAATGTATAAAATAAACAAGATCCAACTATATATTGTCTAAAAGAGACTCACTTTAGATCTAAGGACACACATAAGCTGAAAGTGAAAGAACGGAAACAGATATTCCATGCAAAAGGTAAACAAAAGTGAAAAGGGGTGGCCATACTTATATCAGACAAAACAGACTTTAAGTAAAAAAACTGTCACGAGGGACAAAGACAGACATTATATAATGATAAAAGGGTCAATTCACCAGGAAGATATAACAATTATAAATATATATGAACCTAACATCAGAGCACCTAAATATACAAAGCAAACAATAACAGAACTTAAGGGAGAAATAGACAGCATCACTATAATAGTAGGAAATTTTAATACCCTACTTTTAATAATAGATAGAACATCCATACATAAGATCAATAAAGAAACAGAGGACTTGAACAACACTATAGACCAAATGGACTTAACAGGCATTTACAGAATATTCTATACAACAGCAGCAGAATATACATTCTTATTAAGTGCATATGGAACATTCTCCAGGATAGAATACATACTGGGTCACAAAAGAAGTCTTAACAAATTAAAAAAAAGATCAAAATAAAACTAAGTATCTTTTCAGACCACAATGGAATGAAAACAGAAATCAAGAGAAGAAAATTGGAAAATTACAAATATGTAGACATTAAACAACACACTCTTAAACAACCAATGGGTCAAAGAAGAAATCAAAGGGATATTAGGAAATATATTGAGACAATTGAAAATAAAAACACAACATACCACAACTTATGGGATGCAGAAAAAGCAGTACTAAAAAGGAATTTTACAGCAATAATAACTATATTAAAAAAGAAGAAAGATCTCAAATAAACAACCTAACTCTACACCTCAAGGAAGTAGAAAAAAGAAGAATCAACTAAGACCAAAGTCAGGAAAAGGAAGATTAGAGCAAAAATAAAGAAAATAGAGAATAGAAAAAAAATAGAAAAAACAACAAAACTAAGATCTGATTTTGTTGAAAAGAGCAACAAAATTGACAAACCTTTAGCTAGACTAAGAAAAAAAGAAAATTCAAATAAACAAAATCAGAAACAAAAGAGGAGATACTACAACTAACGCCACAGAAATAAAAAGGATTACAAGAAACTACTATGAAAAATTATACATCGACAAGTTGAGTAACCTAGAAGAAATGGATAAACCCCTAGAAACATACAACCTACCAAGACTGAATCATGGAAAATAAAAATAGAAAATCAAAACACAGCAATAATGAGCAAAGAAATCAAAACCACAATGAGGTATCATCACTACAGTTAGGATGACAAAAAATTATCAAAAATACAAAAAATAACAAATGCTGGTGAGGTTGTGGAGAAAAGGGAATTCTTATATATTTCTGGCGGGAATGTAAACTAGTACAGCCACTATGAAGAACAGTATGGAGGTTCCTCAAAAAACTACAAATAGAATTACCATATGATCCATCAATCCCACTACTGGACATTTATCCAAAGGAAAGAAAATCAGTGTATCGAAGAGACATCTGCATGCCCATTTATAATAGCAGCAGCACTATTACATATATTATATAATTATATTATTATATATATATTATATTATATAACTATATATTATACAGTTATATGTGACTATATTATTATATAGTTATATAATATAGCTATATAATATAGTTTTATTAACTGTAATTATCCTACAGTGATACTGAACACTGTTCATGAATTAGAAGATTTAATATTAAGATATCCATACTACTCAAAGCAATTAATGCATCTCTATCAAAGTCAAATAGCCAAAAGCCAAAACAATCTTGAGAAAGAACAAAGCTAGAGGATGCACACTTCCTTATTTCACAATATATTACAAAGCTACAGTAATCATAACCGTATGGTACTGGCATAAAACCAGACGCACACATAGATCAATGGAACCGAATACAGAACCCAGAAATAAATCTATGTATCTACAGTCAAGTGATCTTCTACAAGTATGCCAAGAACATATAACAAGGAAAAGATAATCTCTTCAACTTTATTTTTTAGAACAGTTTTAGATTTACAGAAAAGTTGAGAAGATAGTACAGAGAGCTCCCATATACTCCCCAGTTTCCCATTATTGATACATTATTATTAACTAAAGTCCATAGTTTATTCATATTTCCTTAGTTTTTACCCAATGTCCTTTTTCTGTTCCAGGATCCCATGCAGGTTACCACATTACATTTAGTTGTCATGTGTCTTTAAGCTGTTCTTGGTTATATCAGTTTGTCAGACTTTCCTTGTTTTTAATGATCTTGACAGTTTTGAAGAGTGCTGGTCAGGTATTTTGTAGGATGCTCCACTACTAGAATTTTTTCTGGCGTTTTTCTCAGGGTTAGACTGGGGTTATAGATTATTGGGAAGAAGACCACAGTGTTTTGAAAAGCACAGTTGTGATCACATCATATTAAGCATACATATAGTCAACATGATTTATAACTGTTGATGTTGGCCTTGATCACCTGGTTGAGGTGGGGTTTATCAGGTTTCTCCATTGTAAAGTTACTCTTTTTTTTCTGCATTCTCATACTGTACTCTTTTGGAAAGAAGTTACTATAAGCAGCTCAAAACTAAGGAGTGGGGAGTTATGCTCTCCTTCCTTGAGGTACAGTATCTACATAAATTATTTGGAATTGTTTTTTATGGGAGATTTATCTCTTCTCCATTTATTTACTCAACCATTTATTTATATCACTTGGACTCACAGATATTTATCCTATACTTTGGGTTATTATCCAACATTAATTTATTTCGTTTGTTGCACAAGTTGTTCCAGCTTTGGTCATTGAAAGTTCTTTCATGTGGCTTCTATGTTTCTCTGATATACCCCCAATGTCAAAGAACAACATACTAATTTTATTTTATTTTTTAGCACTTTCTTACTTTGTGGTACTACAAGATACATAAGGCTCATCTTGTATATTTCCTGTTCCAGTATTAGAAGCAACCATTTCTCCAAGGAACTTTGGTTCCTTTTATTAGAGAATGGTATTAGAAACAAAGATCTGGATGCTGAGCAAACTTTTTGCTACTTGGGTGTCCTTTCATTTGAGCCTTATCAGCTGACAGAGCAAAAGATATGTTTATACTAATCCATATATATAACATATAAATATTTCTATATGTAACCAGTGATATCTATAGTAAGTTAAACAGGAGTTCATACTGATGTCTCCAACTCTATACCATTACCACATGGATCAATCTAGCTTTCTCCCTTTACTTATCTACAAATTCCAACAGTGAGAAACCTGGCTTCCACCATCTGTCATCCATTTACTTAATTGTTCCATGCCATTATGCATGTATAGCAGTATCAGAATAGTTAATCAGTACCCCCATGGAACACAACCTTATCAACGGTGCCTATGTGCATTTCCATTTGCCTTCAGTCTTCCAGACTTCACACATGTCCAAATATATGTAGGTCAGCACGTTTTCCTCCATCCCTTCAATGAAGTTGTTTTAATGTATTTGTAATACAGTTATATTCTCTTCTCACAGTCTGCATTCTTTCCTGGGGTTCCCCAATCTCCTAAATGATTTTTT